AGACGTGACCAAGACAGCAGAAACCAGAAATGAAGGCGACGTTTAACGAGGCGTATGCGCAATATGCTAGCAATTGGTCAGTAACCGCGTTCATATCTCTCTATGACAGCATAACAGGTACCCGAGCAGAGACAGACAGAGGCGCGGACTTTATATGCAAGACGTGTTCGATGACTCAAACAACCTGTCCGACAAAGCGACAGACATAGGATTGAAGACTCATCATAGCTGGCTTATCAGCGCACCGAAAAGTTTGCCCTGTAAACATGACCATAACTGCAGAGGCAATGGCAAAAGCCAAGAGAAACTGAAACTGAAACCCCAAATGGCAATTGCCAATTGGCAACTGGAGGGCTTGAGCCACGTCAGACACCGATAACACACACACACACACACACTTATTGCTTGGGGCCCAATTGGTCGTTGAACACGTTTTTCAATTTGCAGCTAAAATAAGTATGTGTGTGTGTGTGTTTGTGTGTTAAAGTAAAACAATGAGAATTTGTTGAAATTGTTGTTGCTGGCGGTATCTTTGGCATATTCTTGACCGCCTTTTGTGCAATAAAGTGGAGCAGCAACAACAACAGCAACAAATGTGTATACAATTAAAATTATTTATTAGTGCGGCTGCTGCTGCTGCTGCTGCTGCTGCTGCTCGAGGATCCCATCTTCAAGTACAGCGGCAGCGCAATTGGCCTCAACAGTAGCCAAGACTGAAAACAAATTCAAAGATGGCAGCAGCGGCGGCAGCAGCAGCAGCAGCAGCAGCAGCGGCAGCGGCACATTTGGCCATGCCTTTTTGGCCATTTGCCAGCTACTTTTGGTGGCTGCCACCCAACAGCACTAGAAGAACAAGCAGCCGCAGCAGCAACGGCAACGACAACGGCAACGGCAGCGGCAACGGCAGCGGCAACGGCAGCGGCAGCAAAAGAATAACAACATCACGTTGTATCCATCTACAACAGCCTCGGCCAAGTTGGCTTTGGACTAAAGCTTATTTATGTGCGTTGGCTGCGAAATATGGCGCACAATTTTTGGTTTTTGCTTATTTACTGCAGTCCACAAAAAGAGCAGCCAAAAAGCTAATTGGGTGGGCGGCACAAGTGCCGGCAGCAGCAACAACAACAGCAACAACAACAACCTCAGTCGAAGCAGCCAAAAGATGCAATATTTTTTTTGCATATTTAAGATAAAAATATTTCTTTATGCTAACAAGCTATATTTACTCTCTCACTCTCCCTCTCTCTGACTCCTACACACGCTCTCTCTTTCGTTTCCTCATTCTTTTGTGGCATCAATTTGGGCCACATTAAAGACCAAATTATATTGAAGTACAGTTATATAAGTATGTGACTTAACATATGTTATGGCATTCTGCATTGTTGTTGAACTTCTGTTATATGCATATGATATATCGATAAATATCGAAAGTCGAAAGCCATGTAATTTGAATGAAAACTTAACTGAAATTGAAATACAGCACACATATGTATCGATATATTGCATATCGATTCTCTCATTTTCTTCAAAAATTAATACCAATATATATATAATGTTTTATCGATAACTTACATGAATGAAGCAGTGAATATTTATACTGCCTCATCTAGACTGTAAACATCAATAGGTAAATCGTAAGCAATTGCGATAAATATCGATTGCGAACGATAACACAAAAATAACATCTTATTATGAAACACATAGATTTTTCTGCATTGCAAATCTCATGCAAATAAATAACTTTATAGAATTTAAGACACTGACGAAATTTGCAGCTTCTGACGATTCTTCCATCTGATTCTCACATCCCATCAACTGCAGTCGCATTCCATTTCTTACAACATCTCTGATCTGTGAGTGCAACTGCACTGGCATAATTTCTTATTTTCAGCGCCCGACAACCACCTGCAACTGGATTGAGCTGAATATTTACTTAGCCCGATTGACGGCAGACAAAATGGAGAGGGAAACAAATAAAAACCGAACGGGAGTGACAGAAAGAGTGAAAGAGAGAGACAAAGAGGGACAGAGAGGGAGGTAGTCTTCACATTCACATTCCTGTCGCTCAACCTAGCTGCCATAATAAAGATTGCAAATGTTTCAGATTTGTAAGAGGTTTTCTTTCTTATTCTCGTCTTGCGCTTATCAAAAGCTCAGCGAAGAGCGCAGCCTGAAAAGGCGAAAGAATGTTGAGCCAAATGTTTGAACACTCAGTAGAGCGCAATGATAAAGGTAAAGTCAGTGAACTCTCCACAAACACAAGCACACACGCACACACACACACAGAGAGAAAGAGAGATTTACTGTTTACATGCTTATCAGCATATTTTGGTAGCTTCAACTGATAATTGCCAAAATATTTTAGCTAATTTGCCGTGGGAAAATACCTAAATTATATATGTTAAATATATATTTGTCTATATATATAGATAGGTATATGTCTATGCAGGGGAATGCCCCAAATGAATGTGAATAAACTGCCATAAAATTCACTTTGATGTATTACCCTTAAGAGCGAGAAAATTTTCGTACAGCTGTTGATCTGCTTATTAAATGCGTTTGGAGCGCATCTTTCCTACCGAAATTAATTAAGGAATTGTCACATCAATCAGGCGCCCACTTGCCGACTGCCATTGTGCTTGTTTCACTGTTGTTGTTGTTGTTGTTGTTGTTGCTGTTGTTTTCAAATAAACAAATAAAATGCAGAAAATAGATTTACGAGTGTCGCGCAATTTATGACAGATGTAAAAATTGTCAGCGCTTTTTATGGCCCACGTTTTTGACGCTTGACTGAAGTCTGAAGAGCCGCCCGCCCCGTTGACTGACCACCAGCTGGCCATATCCATGGCCCTGACTGACTGCCTGAATGACAGCCCAGTCAGATGGCCGGAAAGCGAGAGCGAGAGCGAGAGGGAGGGGGAGAGTGAGCTCATCCACTCTCACCCACTGCTGCGCCGTCTATCCATTCTCAAGGCAACAAAGTTTAAAACACTTGCTTCTTGATAATGAGAAAAAGTTCTTTTTATATATTTCTCATTTCGTTCATTTTTCGTTCTTCTTCTTTTTGCTTTGTGCTGCATTCGAGACAAAAGTCTTGATGATGATTACAATGATCCTTGGGCTTGTAATGAGATATGGCCAAAGCACTTTCCTAAGCAGCATTATATTTAAGCACACACACAATCACACGCACACTCATGCACGCACATGCATGCATATACGTGTTTCTTGCAGCTTTCTTTGTTAAATGCACAGGTCTGCCTTTGCCTCGTCTTTCTTTTCTTTTCTTTTCTTTTCCTTTCTTTTCTTTTCTTTTATTTAGCTTTACAAGCTTTTGTTGTTCCAAGTTCTTCGGTGGAAAGGTAAGAAATACTTCTAATAATATTAATTAGGCTTGAATGCTTTTTTATAGCGCTCAATCAAATTGGTGTAAACAGTATATATCTATATATACATACATATATACAGCCATTCATATATACATATATACAATTAGTTTAATTATTTGATAAATTTCACTTTTTAATGTTGCGTATACTTAATATTTCTATTGCATAAGCACAATGAGTTAGTTTCCTATACAATTTGGCAAATCTAAGCTTACTTTTTTTCTAAATAATTATCAAAGAATATTTAGCTACGTTTAATTACGTTTTTGCCAAAATATCAGTTACCTAGAACAAAGTTTTGGCTTAAAAAAGAAAAGTTATATAAAGTGGTAACAATTTTTTTACTGCTAAAAAAAAGTAAACTAAACTAAACTAACTAAAAATGCAAACAATAAAATTAAATTAGGGAACAAAAAATTTTAGCCAAAATAAAATCTGAAATTCAATTCAAATTGAAAGCAAATTAAAAAATATATATGTACATACGTCCAATTTCTAATAAATAAATTTAGAATTTTACTCATTTTACTACAATAGCTATCGAGAAATGTTTAACTAGGAATTTTAGGATACTTTGAAGAAATATTGAATATATTTATGCTAATAAGAATATGAACATACTTATAATAATGTTAAGAATTCTATTAAAGAATTTCAAAGAAAAATGTATTTTTAAATAATTAGTTGAAAAATCTGAGCTCATAATAAAAATAATACAATAGAATTTAAATAAAGCACTTTGTAGATAAACGTGTATATTTTCTATTTATTGCAAATGACAATCGAAAAAACAGTCCATTGATAAAATTGCGTATACGTAATTTATTCCTTTGCTGCCACGCAGAACTTAAAATTTAAATAAATGGCACTGCGAACCATAAATTACGTGCGTTCTTAAGCAGCTCTAACAAAAGGTTCTTACCCTTCTTGAACTGCCATGGCAAATGTATCCAAAATATTCCGCATTACAACAAAAAGAAATAGTGGAGGAAGAAGCAGAAGAAGAGACACAGAAACAGAAAAGTTTTTCTTTTTTATGTTCGTTCGTTCGTCTATGCAAAAGAATCCGAGAAGTTGTCACACGCTGCAGTTTAATGTGAAACTAATGCAGAAAACTGTCAGCAATTGGATATACATATATATGTATACCTCTGTGTGCGTGTGTGTTTGTGTGTGTGTTATCCAAGAGTTGCCGTAAGACGAAAGGTTGCACGAAAGTAGAAGATGCAAATAATAAGAATGTTTTCGCCTTGCAGCAGACAAATTTTCAATTGCAATTTTTTGGTTTTGGGTTTTTTTTTTCAACTCAATTTGCAATTTGAAATTTGCATTTCTTTTGTTTATGTTTCTTTTATTTGTGTTAGTAAAATTTGTATATTTCTTTTATTTATGCCAAATTTTGTATTGTTGATCAATTTGCATTTTGCACTTCACTTGGACACATTCAACAATTTATCTTGTTGATTATTTTCAATTTTGGTGTAAAATATTTGATTTATTTACATTCTTTTTTTTTATTTTTGGTCGAGTCTCTTAAAAAATTCTAGCAAAAATGTTTGCTGTGTTATTTTTAGCGTCGGGCAATGAAACTAACAAAAAATTTTCACTCACATGTGGAAAATGCCGCTGCACGCACTTTTCATTTTATTTTCCGATATGTTGTTTTTGTTGGTGTTGCAGTTGTTGTTGTTTGTCACTTTCGAGTTTTTACCCTTTGCATTTGTGGGTATTTTTGTAGGGCGAGCGAGAGAGGCAGAGAGATAGAGCGAGTGGCCAAAGGAAAACTCGACGCGTTGCAATATTATTTCTATTATTTTTTTTTTCTTGTATTTTGTTTGCTTTTATTTTGTGTTTGTTATTTTTATAATTTTATTTTTATTTTTATTTTTTGTTAGGTCTGTTTTATTTTTAGCGTTAAATTTTCTGCGGTCAGCGATTTAAATATAACAACAGCAGCTCCGCATGGATTGCACTTTACTTGGACATGGACTTTAAAGCTGATGCTGATGCTGTTGATAATTCTTGAAAACTCGCGCCACAAATTTTGAAACGTATTATTTGGATTTCTGGTTTATTTTGAAACTTGGAACTTGGTTCTGATTTAGCATGTGCTTGGTATTCGCATAATTTTATTTGTATTCTTTTATCAGCGTTCACTTTTTTGTTTCTTGTTTCAGTCTGAAATTGTATTTCAGTTTTCAGTTACAGTTCAACCACATGCGATATCTTTGACGGCGGCTGACTTTAGTATTTGTTTTTTCTGGTTTCTTGTCCAATTCACCGCTCCGGCGTTCTGCTCACTTCGATGAACATCTTGTAACTATTTTCAAAAAGCGCACGAACGCAGCTGCAGAGCAACAATGACGCCGACGACGGCGACGACAACGACGACGCTGCGGAGCACACAAAAATCAAACCAGCAGCAGCAGGCAGACAAACGAAACCGAAACCGAAACAGAGACCGAGACCGAGACCACCGCACAACAACAACAACAACAACAACGACAATAACAGCGCCAACTCAAGAACACACAACAGCAGCAGAAGCAGCCAACAGCACAACAGCAGCAGCAGCAGTCGTCGTCGCTGTGCTTACGTGTGGCTGTGTGTGTGTGTGTGTGTGTGCGAGTGTTCTGTGAGAGCGTCAGAGAGTGTAATTTAAAGTTAAAGAGCCAAAAGCTAAAGAGAGCGCACTGCTGTTGTTGCTGCTTGTGCTTTTGTAAACGCAGGCCACAAGAAAAAAACGAAGCGTAGCATCCGTGTGCTGCGCTGTTGGCTACTGAAGAACTGAAGCACTGGCTGGCCGACCAGTCGAACCAGCCGAACCACAGCAACAGCAGCCGAAGCCGAAGTCAAATGACGGTTCGTGTGCGACAGCGACGTCGAGACAGCTTCGTGCGCTGCCAAAGAGCGAAATGATGATTACTTAAGCAGTGACTAACTAAACCAGCGTTAACAGTGTGCGAAGCGCACGAGCCAAACGAAGCGGCGTAACAAAGCCAGAGGCTAAACCGGCGTCGCAGTCACCGTCGCCGTCGCTAAAGCCCAGTTTCATATAACAACTGACTACACTGTATGTTTAGCTGATTCGGCTGCTGTGCGTCTGTTAGATAGCGCTGCACTGTTAACAGCTCCTCTGTTGCTTTGCCCTAACCTTATGTTATGACCATATGAAGCGTTCATGCATTTGATTAGCTACATCGATTTTAATGTCTCATTTAATTAGCTGGAATTGTCACAGCTAATGGGCTGGCAGTTATAATTAGTTGCACTTTGTGACAACTTTATCACTGGCTTTGACGGCCGCAAGCGAATTTGCTCATTAAAGCCAGACACTAGACGCCAGACGCGAGGCATGAGAGATGAGAGAGCGGCAACTATTGCAGCAGGGGCATAAGCGTACAGCAGAAATCCAGCCGAAGCCAGTGACAGGCAACAATGGCAGATGAAGTACAGTAAGCGCTTATTAAATGCGCTGAATGCAAATAAAACTTTTAAGCTAAATAGAAAATGGCGACTGAGGACCATAAGGACGAGCATCTGGGAGCATCGAGAAACAATGGCCGGAAATTCGCGCTGCGGAAGCCAAAAACAACAATAACAGCAAAAGCTGCAGCAACAGCAGCGTCACTTGGGAGCCCGTCAGTCGGCCACAAAAAGCAGCTGGGTCCCGTCCTTGCCCCACTCAAAGGATTTCGCCTGGCGCGGCACAAAACAAAGCGAGCGTATAATGTTGCGCTATAGAGCAGAATTTGGGGCAAGGATGGCATAGTGGAAAGGGGCGGACGACAGGGCTGATTGGTTATTTCTCCCCAGTCTTCAACTGGCTGCAAGTTTGACTCGCCCGCACCCCCACAGAGAAAAGTTATGAATTGTTCAAGCTGATTTTCATATAAAATATTTTATATTTTTTCTCGGCTAATGTTGGAAAAGTTGGAGTGCATAAATCAAAAGCTCTGCATGTCCATCTACTTCAGAAACACTTGCCGTCCCTTTCATGCAGTGTCACTTGGCATATTGATTAATGAGCCATGAGCAACTGCACATAGCTTGGCACTTAGCACGTGCTGGCCGGGTCCAAAGTCAGGTACAAGGACATCAGCAACGTAGAAGGCAACGGCAACGGCAAAGGCAACAGCGGCTACAAATGTTATTTATGGGCGCCTCAGAATGCAATTTGTTGTGGTCAACAAATCGCCATACAAATCGCGAATGAGAGATCATTAGAGAATCAGTGACAGACAAAGTGAGAGCAAGAGAGAGCGAGAGAGAGACAGGGGGAGTGACAAAGATGGGCGAGTGTTTTGCCCAAAAAATAAGCAGGACGGTAAGCAAGTTGATTAGTCACGTCCAAGGAATGCCGAAAATAAAAGATGCTCAGCACCCAAAAGGTGAGGTTCCATCCAGAAATCAAATGCGCTAAAAGCGGCCAAGAAATCAGCTTAAGCCAAATGGCGTTAATCCATGAATTATTGCCTAAAAGCATGCCAAAGCGCATTAAGTTTTTGACTCTTCGTTCTTGCCCGAGCAGGTAAACAGACAAACTGAAGGATGGACGGACGGACGGACAAACAGAGACAGACAACCGCAGGACAACAGCGACAACAAYACCTACAACAACAACAGGTAGTTGTTGCTAGCTCATTTTGACGCGACCGAACATTTGATACCCTTGCAAAGGTTTGGGGATAAATTATTAGTGGAAGAATAAGCTTTAGGTAGATTCATTCAGTTTTTGTTAAAGAAAATTCAAGCTATTGGATATGTTCTATTTAATTAGGCGAGAAAAGGCGAAATAACGAGAAAGACAGGTAGAGAGAAAGAGAGAAGAGTAAGTGAAGGGAGAGAGTGACTGAGAGAGATATAGAGGGAGCGAAAGGGGGATATATCTATATCTATATATATATATATAGAGGGAGCGAAAGGAAGGAAGAGATATAGAGACAAAGAGATGGAGTCATAAAATGAGAGAGAGAGAGAGAGGGACAAAAACAGAAAAACAGTGAGATAGACAAAGATAGAGAGGGAGAGGCATATTGTGAAAAATATATATCTTAAAAGCGAAAGTGAAATAAAGAGAGTGAGAGAGAAAAACAGAGGAAGCAAGAGAAAAATAATATGGAAAAACAGATATCTAATGTTCGGCCAATATTAAACTTGATTAATTTTCTTTACAATAATAACAAATGAATCGGACAATAAGTGCCAGACAACATCATCTTAGCAAAATATGACATATTTATCATTATAATATACACATATACTCTGTATATAATATATAAACTAAATACATGATCTGGTTTTTTCTTTTAACCAACAACTGCTTATCGGAAAGAAGTAAACGTTTAAGAAAGCCCCCTCGCAGTATTGAAGATCCCCTCAAATGAAAAACAATTATAAAGACAAAGAGAGAAGATTGCTCTCGCGAGCCAAAGAAATGTATTACAAATTGAAAGTCGTTTAGGCATCGTTAGATTCAATGCGATGCCTCATACACGACTTGGCTGCCTTATCAGCTTGCCCCAAATCAATATACCCTTTGTTAGGGCAACAACAAGCACGCCAAAATAGCGACAAGCAACAACAGCAACAGTAACAACAATAATAATGTGAAGCAAAGAAAACATTAGTAATGTCCATGAAAGTGCCAATGAATAACATGGAACATACATTTGCTTTGCATTTGTATCTGTATCTCAAACGAACCAAAAAACGGAAAAAACGGACAAAGAAAAAAAAACGCAAGCAAGCAAAACAAAATAAGCCCAATTTTGACCGCACCCAAGAGCCGAGAGAGATCCAGCTCTATAAGGCAGATATTTTTGCCTGTCAGTCTTCCACGCTCTGTCTACCAGTGTGTGTGTGTGTGTGTGTGTGAGTGTCGCGAACTGTTTTTTTTTTTTATTTATATTTTTTTATGAGTATTGACATTATAATCAACGCCGTTTTCAATTTCAACAAACCTCCTCCAAGCAACAACAACAAAAAAGGTGCATCCCAAAACAAAAGCCAAAAAAAGTTCTGTTTGCTTTTTTGTTGTTCAATTTTTTTATCTTTTTTTTTTTCGTTCGTTGTTCAGGCTACTTTTCAGGTCGTTGGGCAAAAAATATGTAAATTATGGCTGCAAAAAAAAAAAAAAAACACACAACTATGTGTTTTTGTATGTATGTGTGTTTGTGTGTGTGGCATGCGTCAGTCACCTGCGGTATTTCATTTTTGGTCGCCCGGTCTCGTTTTTATTGCTTCGATTGGGTCTCTGCGGCCTCGTTTTTACCCATTCAATACGCTGCATAGTTTTTGAACTTGAGCTGCAGCTCCCCAAAGGATTGTGGCGCCCGTTAAAAGTTATTACACGCTTCAGTTCGTCTACCCTTTGCAAATTGGGCAGCCTGTTGGAGCTGCAAAGCTGCTTTGGAGCGCTTGCCTTTACGCCTGTTGCAACTGCCACTTGTGGCATTTACATACTCTGCACAAGTGCATTACATAAATGAAAAATTGATATATTAAACAAAATTGAAAAGCATATTAAAACAACATCAAAACTAGTGGATGGATTAGGATAACCTTAACACTTAATAATGCTGAAGAATATTCGAGTTTATCTTCCAAATGTCTCTAGCTTTATTGAATTACTTAAAAAGTATTTCAATAAAACTTTACAAAACTAAAACTTTTTTATGATGGAGAAAAAATATATATAAAATAGGAA